CCTGGCCGAAGTCTGCTTTTCTCAGGGTAGCCAGAGAGATACCATATGATATATACATATCGTCAAGGATTGCTAATTATATGTAACTTTTGCATCCTGCTACACCATCAAAGGCACATAGGCCAGCTCCTACCTTTTCTAACATCTCATTCTCTAAAATTCAACCACACAGACTCCCTTTCTGTTATTCTTACATTCCGTACTTACTATGATTTTAGGGACTTTCCTATAGCTGTTCCCTTGCCTTTTCCCCAGGTCTGTAGGAAACAAAATATTCCTACTAAAATGTTCCAGGAAAATAATTATCTCACATAAAAATAAGTAAACAGAAGGGATGTGTTTTGAACTGCTTATTTCAGTTTCTCATCAGGGGTACTCTTGGAACTTAGATTCTAGTGGGGAGAGAAAGAAAAGAAGGACAACACATATGTAAAATACATATAATACAAAATAGTGGTAGTCTTATGGAGAAAAATGAACCAAGAAAGCGGTACAGGATGGAGGTGTATGTTCACCTTGACATAGTGACATGGTAATTGCTCAAAAAATATTAGTATCGTTATTAGTGTTTTCTGTTATTGTACTGAATGGAGATTGGAAAGATGTCAGATTCAAATTTCTTATCTCTTAAGCAGTGATGTCACTTTATAAGTATTATAATGGAGAGTTGTGATTAAGTTGGGACTAAGAAGGTACATATTATATTGGGGGAATCAGTCTTACTCCTCTACCACGTTATTCAACAGTGTGAAGAAGTTGCCCAAGGTAATGAACATTTCATTCCACTTTCATCCTTCCCAACCACATTTCTTATTCTTCTACTTTATTTCCTGTTCTCTAGTAATTGTCATCATTGGGTAATATTCAAAAATAAAGAAAATCTTTAAACTATGGGACAAAGATAAACTCAAATTGGAGTTAGCCCTAAAGGAATTTGCTTTTTGACAAATAGAAATTCATTATCAAAAGTGAATCAGCTTACCAAATAAAGGATAAACATTAAAATGAGATAATGTTACTGAAGAATTAGGCAGGACAATGTTTTCTCTCCCAGCATGGCAAAAAGATCTTTAGTATAAAAGTTGTTTGCCCGTAACTTTTCAAGAACCTATCAACCATAAACTATTACGTTGCGTCAACTATTAACTGATATAAACTTTTATAGACTCTTTCATAGAGTAGAGTTGACTTGAATCTCATGTCTAGTCATGAAGTCAGTGCCTATTAGCTATATTTGTATTTGATATTACATAATATGCATCAATTGTTAGTTTTTTCCCATGTTTCTAAAATAACATGGCCAGCTGTTATTAAATCAAAGATTTTAATTTCTCAAAATAATTTTCCCAGTTGACACAACATTGTAAACTGACTATACATCAATAAACTATATATATATGTAGATATAGATATACAAAAACAAATAACAATAATTTCCCCCTCTAACTCAAACCCACAGACACATTTTCAATAATTCCCTCACTTCTGCTTGACACATGTTCCTGGTAATCACCTAAGTCATTTAAAAAACATGAATAAATGTTAACATTATTTTACTATGTAGTTGCAGTGGTTTTATTTTTATATTTGCAATATTTAAATTTTTTTTTAAATTTCTAGGCCTTGGAACTATTCAGTAGCAATAAACCCTTCATTTGTCCTTTTAAAAACTTGTCTAGAAATAACTTTAAAAATCCAACATGATATGATCATTTAAAAACAGGAATAAAAAATGTGAGATTTCTTGCATTCTTATAATTCCATTTTCCTTTCAAATAGTAAAACTCCTCTTTCCTACCCTTACTACTATACCTTACAGTAACACTAATTTTAAAATGTGTGGTTTTGTTTAGATTTATAGTAAGCAGTACCAATGAGAATGATAGAAAATTCTACCCGCTTAGTCTTGGACATACCTCGTAATCTGTACAGTGTTTGATATTTTCCTTTTAGATAATGTATTTTCTTCTTGTCCTCCCTTTCTGCAAATATGCACTGAAAGAAACTTTAAATTTTTTGAATAGCTCCATTTTTTCCTTTTGTTCTTTCAAATGCTGCTTTCACTACCTGTCTCCCCAGCTTCCTTTCCATGCCACATTTTAAAGTTCCGGTTGGCTTGCTTACCAACAATAATAAGAAAGAGGGATGTTTTAGATTATGGTTTGCATTGAGAGGATATCCCTGGATCATTGCACATTGGATTTAATATGAAAATTGTATTTGGAGTCATTTGATTTGCAGAAATAACAAGCCTAAATGCTTCAGTTTCTAATGGTAATTAGTTTTCAACCCAGACAGTCTGGATAACTATATATTTACTGCCTTGTAAAGAACTATCATAACAAGCCCTTAAGCATTATTTGAAAATTAATAAACTAAAGTAGGAGGAAACCCTTTACTTTCCCATAGCAGCATGAACTGAGTTATATTATTTTATTGTGAAGTTTTGCTTTTCAATTATAGGTTTACTAAATTAAGAGGCTTGAAAAGCATAAAAAACAATTATTAGTTTCTGAATACTGTAGATGACTAATGCAGTGAGCCCCTTTACTGTATGGAAACAGGTTTTTTTTTTTGAGAAAATTATTTCTTTGAATCACCTGACAATAAGCCTTGATTCAAAAATAAGTTTTATTTATATTATGTTAATAGAATGCATACATATTTAAGTGGGTTTTCCAAATTAGGTAAAAAAATAAATCTTACACAAGAATCTTACTCTTAATCTCTTTTCATGTTTATATTTTCCTTATCAAAAATTGAAACTTACCAGTAGAGAAACTTAACTGTTAAATATCTGCAAGTATGCAAGAGATTCAGAAGTCTGGATTTGAGCTAAATAGCAATTGCCATTGATGACTGTGTTAGTTTTAAAAGATAAAATTATGTCTAAATTGGGTTAATTACTTAGAAGAGAGTGTGGAAGACAAAAATTACTTAATCTAATTCTCACAATCTTGGAGTGAGGATGAAAAGTCAGTGTTAACACCGCCCAGCAGAAAAGAGACGTGTGGCTCAGACCCAGCACTGTGACCCTGGATCGGCCAGAATGTAAGCTTTTTAGAGGTCTAAGGTCTGACTCTATGTGAATGTTGTGTGCGTGCACGGGTGCGTGTGTGTGTGTAAATATGAGTGTTACAGCCAGAAGAAAGAGCAAAGATTATGCTCTGCAGAGACTCATTGGGAAGGGTGAAGTGCGGAAGAACTTGTTCTTTCTTCTATTTTTTGCCCTCCTATCCCAACTTCAAATCCACATATTTATTCTGTTGATCTTTATGGCCCAATGGTGAAGAGCAAGATATTGCTACAGACAGCCAGGATTCAGGTTCTGGCTTCAAAACTTACCAGCTGTGTGATAATGATCAAGTCCCTTAACCTCTCTGTGACTTGGTTTCCTCACTGACAAAATGAAGATAATCTCCCAGGATTGTTGAAAGAATTAAATGAGTTATTGGGCATGAGATTCTTAGGACATAGCCCAAAACACACAAATTAGGATAACAGGGTCTCTGCACATGACACTGATTTTAAAGATGAAATTCTCATTCTAACAGAACGTATTTGTACTCTTTGGACTACTTTTAAAATATGTAGTTTCCGAAGTCATGAAAAAACGAGAAGGGAATAAGTTAAAAAAAAAAAAAGAGTTGAAAAAGAAAAAGAGACGGAAGATGTGAATTGTTGAGTAGAATGTCTCTAAGCATTAAATTGAGTACTTTTAATTTTCAAAGCAGTGTCCCTGAGTTGCTAAGGGAGGAATGAGACCCAGGTATACGTTGGCATTTTAATAGGAAAAGTTGCTAAGGGAATGAAATGAGGTCAATCAATTGATCAATTAATTCAAAACACAGAAGAATCATAAAAGAGTTAGCTTGATCCTCAGTGAACAATCATAGTGAAAGATAAACTCACCATTTCAGAACAATGAAGAATTCTGTGTGCTCCTCTATACTCCTGGTCATCTTCAACACCCTTAACATAATTGCTCAGTTAGTGCCTGTTAAGTGAATGGAATGAATGAATGAATGAATATACCCAAGACAATCAGAACTGGGAAGAGAGGTAAAAAAATTGATGGCGAGAACAGTAAATTTGATCCCCAGGCGTACTATGTTTGGCCTTCATGGTCTTTAAAAAGTAGAATTAGAAACATTTAAAATATAGGAAAACATAGTAAGTAATCTTATGGTTACTGAAGGGGAAGGGGATGGGAAGGGATAGATTTAGAAGTTTGAGATTTACAAATGTTAGCTACTATAAATAAAATAGATTAAAAAAACAAATTTCTTCTGTATGGCACAGGGAACTATATTCAATATCTTGTAATAACCTTTAATGAAAAGAATATGAAAACGAATATATGTATGCATATGCATATATATGCATGACGGGGACATTGTGATGTACACTAGAAATTGGCACATTATAACTGACCATACTTTAATTATATATATGTATGTATATATATATATATATATATATATTTGGGACTTCGCATAAAAGAAAAACTAGATTTCTGGCTTCTCTTTAAAAATTAGCAGCTCTGATACCAGTAAGCCTTTATTCTTGCCGGGCTACAGGTTCCTGGATCCATACAGTTGCTGTTCCCCCAAAATAAGCAGCATGTGGTACACGCAGCCCTGACTGCCTAACTCGTTTCTATCAGCTGCCAGGTCCTTCTCAGACTGTGAGTTTACTTCCAGTTTTTATTCTCTAAACTAGAATGGCAGAGATTTGTACCACACTTTGGTTCCCTTACAAGATTTTCTCATAGCTTAAAACAAGTTGGATGGAGCCCTAAAACTATCCAGGGTTTTGTCTCTCTTTAATGAAAGGATGAGGACCCTTGAGTTAGTAACAGGGGTTCTCAGGCTAGGTTCTGTTGGAATTTTGGGTTGGAAGGTGTTTGTTGTGGGGGATGTCCTGTGCTTTGTTGAACATAGAGTAGCCTCTGTGGCCTCCATCAACTAAATACTCTCCCCTCTAGAGTGACGACTAAGATGCCTTCAGGTATCCGCAAATATAGCCCAGGGATGAGGTGGAAGGTGGGGGAACCACTGAGTTAGGTATCAAACCTGAGTAGAACAGATACATAAACTCAAAGGTGGTGCCGGATTTACATCAGAGAGGTATTGGTTAACTTGCAGATTGGAATTGGCTATAACTTTGTCACTATACCCAGGTTCCAGATTTAGTTTCTGGCAACAGATCACTGATTTTACTATATTATTTCAAACTTTAGTTACTGAAGCTTGAGTGGAATGGTAATGCTAGGATTCTCTAAAACCATTGATTTTTCTTCTTTTAATTAAAATGTTGTCTATTATAATGTGTCAATTTCTGGTGTACAGCATAATGTCCCAGTCATGCATATACATACATATATTTGTTTTCATAATATTTTTCTTTAAAGGTTATTACAAGATATTAAATATGGTTCCTGTGCTATACATAAGAAATTTGTTTTTATCTATTTTTATGTATATTAGTTAATATTTTCAAATCTCAAACTTCCAAACTTATCCCTTCCCACCCCCTCCCCCCCTGTAACCGTGAGATTGTGTGAGATTGTTTACTATGTCTGCGAGTCTGTTTCTGTAAAACCGCTGATTTTTGATGGAGCCTCTATGGACAAGGAAGGATAGTAAACAAAGTGATGTTATAAAATGCAACTTTCTGCACATAGTGGTATCTGGATAGCAGTCGTATGCTATTACTTCATCCTGTTTTCTACTCACATGTTGTTCCTGATGAATTATTTTTTAAGTATGACTAAATTATTCATGACACAGGATCACCATTATTTATGCAACTGAGGTTTACCACTAACATTCCAATATGGATTTTCCTTTTGACTAGGGGACTTCAATAAAGCTTCTAAGAATAGAAATATATGCCTAGAATTAAGTAATTCTTGTGGGGCACACCATAAGGTGGGGGAGCTGTACAAAGTGATTAAACCTTTAAATCTTAAGGGAATTTTTAATAACAGTAAATTGGATAAAACATTATTTATCATAGTTACATATACAGTTAAATTTTATGTACACCTCTCAGCTAGAATATCTCAAAACATTCAAGCAGATTAAGCTGCCAGACCATAACAAATTTCTCCCACAAGTTATCTGCCTCATGTATTTCATTTAAATAAAAATTAGGCAATACTAGACAACAATAAAAGTACAAAGCATAAAATTGTACATCATGTAAATTTTATTCTCAAAGAATCAGAAGAATAAATTCCATACCAGAAACCTCTCAGAATTTTAATCTCTCCTTACTTTTCTTACACTCTCTACATCCCTTTTTTCTGTCAATGAAGGATATCTTCTATCGTCTGTACTCTGATGCCTTATCCAGTGTCAATTTAAATGACTTGAGTGATGACTTCAAGTACAGTACAATCCTTCCTTTGGGAAGCTACTCCTTTGACTAATACTAAGTGGGTAACTATTGGTATGTTAAGTAACTGCTTCACTCAGCATGGGCTATTTATATACAATGTACCCTTCATCCATGAATTGACATATGAGAAACAGCCCATGATGAAATTTGGGAGTTTTTTGACATACTAGGTTTTGGTGCCTACATTAAAATGTATGCTTTTCTTTTCTAGCTATGTTTCTTTTAGCACTGAAAGTTGACCACAACTTTACTATTTTGATGTACTGTTTATCAAGTCAAAATGAGAAAAAGAAAAAAAAAAACTTCTCTCTAAATATATATTTTAACAAGGAGGCCCAGGTTTCTCTTTGGAAGGCTAGCTACACCAATGAAGAGCAACATTATCATTGATTTTTTTATTTTTAAGAGTTGGAAAAGCGAGTAATCATCATGGAAGCCAGAGAAGGGACAAAAAATTTGGGCAGAAATTATAAAAAGTTTGTTCTTAAAAGTGATTGTTGGAGCAGTGTGAAGAAGAGGCGAGAGTGACCCCTGAACCGACCAAAGCCCGCGCGCCACTGCATCCCTGTGACCAGTGTCTACGTCCCACCGCCGTCATCACCGTGCCCAAGAGAAAGGCTGAAGGGGATGCTAAAGTAGATAAAGCCAAGGTGAAGGATGAACCACAGAGAAGATCGGCAAGGTTATCTGCTAAAACTGCTCCTCCAAAGCCAGAGCCCAAGCCTAAAAAGGCCCCTGCAAAGAAGGGAGAGAAGGTACCCAAAGGGAAAAAGGGGAAAGCTGATGCTGACAAGGATGGGAATAATCCTGCAGAAAATGGAGATGCCAAAACAGACCAGGCACAGAAAGCTGAAGGTGCTGGAGATGCCAAGTGAAGTGTGCATTTTTGATAACTGTGTACTTCTGGTGACTGTACAGTTTGAAATACTATTTTTTATCAAGTTTTATAAAAATGCAGAATTTTGTTCTACTTTTTTTTTTTAAGTCTTATGTTGTTACACACAAACAACTTTATTGTTATTTTTGTTTTTAG